TATGTACACTTTTATATGGAACGTTTTAATTGTATTAATATGACTTATTTTTAATTATTTTTACTATAGAAATTTTATGTATGCTATTAATAGTATCTTAATATTGTATGTGTAGTGTATCTTTCTTCTTTATTTATTAATATATAATATTAATAATTTAGTATATTATAATGATTGATGATAAACCAAGGTCAAAATTTGTATTATATGCATTATATTTTATATTAGATACAACTTTGGGGATTCAAAACCTTAAAAATATATTGTTAAAATAAATTACAAATTATTTAAATTCAGATTAATAAACTTTATACCATTATAATAGTTATTTTTACTTGTTAATGCATGGTCGGACAAATGATTTATTGAGTTATTAAATAGCACACAGCATTTGTATTTGGCTATTAAGTTGTCGATTAAGAAATATTGAAATAATCCAAAGAGTATTTCATATTTTTACGCATTTAAATTATTATGATTTGTTTCTTATAAAATTTTACGTGCAAAATTCGTTGTAAACAAAGTTGTTGTATTTTTAATAAAAATAAAATAAAATAGTTCGAAATTATAGTTTAGTATCAGTTATATATAATCAAGCAGGTAATATGTTCGTCAATCGGTAACAATTATTATTATTTTGCATGGAATTCGTGGATTAGTAAATAAATAAATTGTAGTGGGTACCTATGAAATATATTAATTATGGATGAATACTTCGAGGCCATCACAAAAAATAAAATGTGATCATGATTATTTCTCTCATGATATAACCCACTTCAATTGGAGTTCTTAAACAATAAGCATTCATAACTTCAAGAGTACAGTAGTGTCAAATGCATTGTCTTATAGTATAGGTATACTAAGTTTATGGCTGGATATATATCATAATTATCTAATTATTGATAGGTAGCCATTGATTTTCCACCAATATTTTTCTCTGATACCAAATTAGTAATTACCTACTAGTTACTCTGATAATTGGACACATACTTATATCAACTTCAAATCACATGTAAGTGCGAATGTTTCTGTAAATAAATTAGTTTGATTTTTTTTATCAAAGGCTTCAACAACTATAATTAAATACATTATTAATTTATGATATGCTACATTTTGATAATTATGATATATTTTTATCATTTTGATATAAATTATAACTACATAGTACATACATATTCACATTACACACTATATTTTTGTACCCGTGTCATATTATCTAACTTAATTTAATTACAAATAATGTTCCAACATAATTGTTTACGATTTTTATAAATAAATGTGTTTTATAACTAACATAATATAATAATAGGTAGTTAAACTTAAAAGCTAATATCCGGAGAAAGTAAAAAAATTTGGCTTATGTCGTTTTCTTATTATAGGCAGGCTCGATATTTGATAATGTTTTACTATATACTTATAGGTAGTTCCAAAATTATTTCATTTTTGTACATATGCCTTGCATTTAGCTGCGGACATTACTAGTAAGTTTTGCCTTATCAAGTATGGATCATTGGAGTATATTTATCGTAATGTTTTTATTCTTAACACCCAGTAATACATTTTTTTATATCATAAATAAAATATTTGATACGTTTTCTCAAATATATTTTAGAAAGACATGAGGATAATTAAATTTAATAAGCAATTTATTATAGCTAAGGTAGGTAAGCGTTAAAATAAATCATCTAATAATAATACAATACAGTTTATAATTTTATTTTTTAATTGCTTTTTCTTTGAAATTTATATTTATAACATGTAAACTATAATTAGTCTATGTTCATGAATGTTTTTTTTTAGTATGAATTCTAACTTATCCATAATTTATTATAAAAAATAATATGGTGTTATACATATATATGTATGGTTAGGGAAAAATGAATGAAGGTTATCTAATTTTGTCAAAATTTGAAACCTATTTTTAATGTTAGGAGAGATCTTGGCTCATATTTAGAAAACGTAGTTTCAACATTTTTCTGCTGTCAATTACCTATTTTATATTTTACACTTCTACAGGTAGGTATAACTGATCTAAAAAAAATCTCTGATGATACAATTACATTAAAAAATACTTAATTAGTCTTGCATGATAAGAAAATAATGCGTAGGTATGTACGGATACATCCCATTTTTAACATATTTTGATGGTTGATACTATATAGTTAATTTTAACCGACTTAAATTACATAGCTATACTTACATTTGTCTACATTTATATATTTGTATTGTTTAAATTATAATGTTTACCTATTATAACTAAATAATTTGAAATTGTTTTTTTTAAATATTATGCAAATGTATATTGTGGTTTACGACTTACTGATGGTAATCCGGGTATCTGATATATATTATGTATAGATTATAGATACAAATCGTAAGTAATATTTTCAATTTGACATTCAAAGATATTTTTAATAATTTTGGAAAATTTAATGAATATTCTTAAGTGATTGACACGCCTTATTAAAAATAATACTCTAACTAGTAATACTTATCGGAGTAATTTTTACTAAGAATTTTAATATTACCTGTATCAACGTCTATAATGTAAACGTACTGCACTAGGCACTAGCTATGGAACGATAATATACCTAGTCGAGTGTTAACCATGTACTTAAGTATTAAACTAACCTACGCAGTACGCTGTATAAGCATACCTATTTAAACTTCGTTGAGTGTAATGCGACAATACCCAGTGACGCACAGACCAGTTACCTGGTAATGCATCTACATTCTACAGCATGTTTCCTCTGGGTTGGGAGTGACGGGGTAAATTACTGGTATCACGTAGAAGTCTATGTAAATTATAATAATTCATTTCTAATTTGTAAGCCATTTATTTTAATCATATACATTTATAATGTGCTTGGTAATAGCACCTATACCAGAAATTGTTGATTATTTTATGAAAAATTCAATATATATGTGCGATTTAATCAAAATAATAATAGCTGATAGTGATTATGAAAAAAATTTAAATAGAACTGGAAAGAATTATTGACAGTCATTGTTTTTTCATCATCCATAAACCAGGCATTATAACCAGCCGGCATAATCTGTCGTCTTTTTAGAGTCTGTAGGTACCTACTCTATATTTTATTAGATTAAATTTTAAATAGGTAATGTCATTTTTTACATATAAAAATGTTCGGTTGGGTGTATTTTGGTTAACTGAATATTATGCTCTCAAAATTATTCTGTGTACCACTGCATCAATACAACCATACACCAGTGTCATTTTTTTAATCGATATCCACATTATATTTAATTGTAATAGTGTAGTAATGTATCTGTAATTGTCCGTATCAGTAAACTTGGTTTAATATCTTCTTATAGGTAGGTACTATAGGTACCTACCATTAATAAATGAATGCTTATATTATATAGATGGGTAAATGTATTAAGGCTTGCTGATTGCTGATATTGAACTTAATATTTTTATAAATTATCCTAACATTTTTCATTGTATAAATTTAAATAAAACTTACTATAGAATATTTCAAGAACTATATCCTTAATTATTTATGAAAACGTATTGCCCTGCCCGACATTACTTGTGCCAAAGAAACGTGTAAATTATTAGTTTTTCGTGAGCTGGAAAAAATTAATTGTGTGAATTATCTTTTAGCTATCTATAGGGCTTGAACAAATGTTAAAATCTTCTCCGTGGTACACTAGCTATAATTATCATTTTTTTTTTTTATTAAAAATATACAATCTATACTAGGTACTTAGCATAGTGGGTATATGTGATAAGATACTTAAAAAATAACATGTTAGACGTAATTAAGAAGTCACTCACTAGGCTTGAGGGGATAATTATAGTAATATAATATATTTACGTATTTACATTATTATATAAAAATAAATAAATATATATATTATTATATGTGTACCTACACCACACACACTCAATCGCGTACTTATATAAAGATGCATGTGGCAAAGGAAATATTATTATGTCCTGTAGGACTTGTATACTTGTTATTTAATTTCTATTGTCGTAAAAACAGGGAGGAAGAACATACGACTACGGTGTGGCGGTGACTATGAATTGGGCGCACTCAAATAAATAATTAAAAAAGCGAACAAACAAATAATAAAGTCCCCACTCGTCCTCCCCCGGAAATGCGGAAAAAAATGTGAAAACCAAATAATAATAAATACCTCATGTGTGTGTGCCTCATCTGCCGTCCCGCTGAACATCCTCGAGGGAAAATCAAAAGCAATAAAACTTTACTATTGGGACATACATTTTTTTTAATGTACTTTGAGCAATTTTGCTACAGTTATTTACCTATCATAATATCGTAATATAGTTTTGGTAGCACACGCTTTGGTATTTTAAAACTTATGTAATGACTCATACGGCAGGCTATCTCTATAAATGTAAAATATAATATTTATTATTATGGTTTTTTTATTCGTCAGTCTCAAAATTATCTATCCGACAGTTATTAACAAACATGTTTTTGTATATTATATTATTATCATGCATACACGCCACACGGTCCTCACTCCTATTGTATAATAATATTATAGCTGTAAACGTCAATGTCTAGTTTATAATATATAGGAGAAATTTGCGTCGCCTTTTGTTCACGTGATATAATAACATAATAGGTAATGAATAATGATAATAATATTAATATAATCGAATCTTAGTTTACAAATCGAAAACTTAAAATACTTATATATTATACAAGATATTTTGGAAGATTTATCCTAGTATATAGGTAGTAAAAATATTAGTATAAAATTAAAACTAATATTTTTGTAAGGTAAAAATATTTTTTGAACTTAATGTGTAAAAATACATATACCTATATGAACCAGTACATTTATTAAAAATTACCTACTAAATATATTATTGGTACCTGTAGGTATATTATGGTGCCCATTACCCAATATTTGTTTATTTTAATAAAATGATTTATGTTTACTATTAAATTGTCCATAACTTATGATATAAGAAACAATCATATTCAATAACTTTTCAGAAACGTCTAATATGGAAAATGAAATGGTAATAAATAAGGATAACTGTAATCAGGAAAAAGAACTAGATCCAAATTACTTACTAGGCAATCAAGAGCACATGAACAAAGTAATACATTTGTAATAATTTACTTTTAACAAATATATTGATGTATTAATTTATTTTTTTTTGGTTTTAGACAACTAAAGTCTCGTGGATTTTAGTCATAACAACAATTAGTACTAGTTTAGGCTGTTCAATTCCTGCCGGATACAACACTGGAGTAGTAAATGCTCCTGCAGAAGTAATTGTTCAAGTTTAAATTTTTAAAGTTTTTATTTAAATTCTTATGTTTAATATTAAATGAGATAAGACGAAAATTATCAGACTATGACAAAAAAAAATTTAAACTTATAGATATTGAAACAATGGTGTAATGAAACGATCATGAATCGTTATGATGTACAATTTTCATCTGCTCAACTCGATGGCCTTTGGTCTATACTAGTTTCCATATTCTTGATTGGTGGCATTATCGGTGGTGTAGCTGGTGGTAAATTAGCAAATGCATTGGGCAGGTAAATCATTTTATAGTTATTATTATTTTGGTTTCTGCATTTTCATAGTTGTGAAATATTACTCGGCCAATTAATTTTGATCCAGCTGTGGAGGTACGGATTTCCCAACTATGGGTGAGAGCATTATGCTAGCTCCATAACACCCTACCGTGTTGGCAAGGTAATCTTCGTGGTTACTCTCTAACTTCCACAGAACACCGTCATTGTCAACGTCTATATGTGTTATTGTACGGCAGTCTACACTTTTCTTAACCTAAAATTAATATTACTTTTGATACTGACAAGTGACAGTGATATTGCTATTATTAGCTATATATTAAACTATGTTATTATATTATTATTAATTAATATGGTATGTGATATGGCTGGTATGAATTTACCATTTTCATGTTTTCTTCTAAAAAACTTTCTTTTGTGTCCCAACTATATAAATGGTTCATTCCTTTTATTCGAAAATACATTACTGACCCATATGCAGCTCCTAAAACTACCATTTTGCAAGGTTTCCGTCCAACGTCAATTATACATTTAGGATTGATTCGTTTTTGTAAGTCTTTGGTGCGTACCTTAAACATATCCGAGCTCGACAAATATGTGAAATATAGGTAATTGGAATTAAAATTTTCAATCAGGACTAGGTAAAACACATCTTCCGTAGAAAAATCTGTACATGTTGTAGTCGCAGAATATGGCAATTTTACTCTGTAGCCTTCGTTAACTTGAACATTCCACACAATAATTGAACGAGTACCTCCGTCTCCTATATAAATTATTGGTTTATCATTGTTTACATTATCATATTCCACAACTAAGTATTGTAGTCGACTGCGTGAGCGACATATTAACGGTTTGAGTGGTATAGTATGTACTATCTGAAATAATTCAAAAAATATATAAGTATATTATTTTTAAAATTGTGTAGCGAGTTTAGGATTAAACTAAAAACTTGGCTTGTAATATTATATAAAAATGGCTTTTTAACATTTATTTTAAACATTTTGATAAGCAAAATATATTAATCATTAAAATAAGAGTGTATACTATAGGTTGGTACAATAGGTACGTTTGCCTTTATTGTTTTGTTTATGGTATAGGCATAACATTACAAAGCCTATATTTGCTTTACGACAAAAAATATTTCTTTAGTAAAAACGAAATCAAACAGCATTGTATTAGGAAATATACGATGATGTCATACTATGTTGACATACACAAAACAAATAAATCTGAACGTAAGTATTGAAAGCGATATTTTTTTATGAGTAAGGTGTAAACAATTATAGTTTGTTGTTGGTTAAACACTGCATTTGTATGAGATGTAAATAATTATTAGCCCAAGTATAGAAATATGGTAATCATAAAACATATTTTTTCACTTTGATTAGGATTGTAAGAGACTAAACGATTAATCAAAATACATTTATTTTTGTTGGAACACTCAGATAAACCCCTAGATATATGATAATATGGGTTCTAAAAACATATTATTTAAATTAAACCTAAAGTTAACACAAGACAGTACATGTTTAATTCAATATTTATTATAATCATATATATATTAGAATAATACAGGCAATATATTCGAGGATGTGTGGAGCATTAGAAAATTGCGTCGTTAATGACACATTTTATAATTACTTAATCCAACTTTCAAAAAATAAACGGCTTCAATAAGCTATCATTGAAACATCGCGAACGACGACCAGCCTATCTGTATCGTTTATATTTATTATGATACAAAAGTTATACATATTATTGTATATGTTATTTTGTAACCTACACGTCCATCTCCATAGTCAATCCCCAATATTTTCGCATCGGATTCTGTCTTTGTAGTTTCATCTAAGGTATTTATAACTCCTATGTCCAATATCCAAACTAGCCATTTTGACCCATGAATAGGTCTATGGCATTTATAATGGATTTATTGTCGTCTGCCGCATTCTTCTCTAAGTTAGGGAACGGTCTCACATACTTGTAACATTCATCTTTATCGTAGAGCATTAATTGACTCAACGTAAATGGCACACCTTCCCTAAATAATATGACTTTATAGTTTATCTGAATTTAGTTTTTACTTTATTTTTTATTTTATAAAAAATATATTAAAAATGAGTTTTACTTGTAACGCGGTGAAACCAAAATCACTTGATTTCCACAAATTTGGAACCTGGTAAAAATTATATTTTTTGGTATACAGCGTTTGTCACGTAAATAAATGGCTTCCGTTTTGTTATTCGGCCATTCAATATAATGTCCGTTCAACATGTGTGGCTTGAAAATATTTGAAACATTGCGTACTACATTTGAGAAAAAACGAATGATATTGGCATAATACATTATGAATAAACCAAAATAAAGTCTCATAATACTATCATTAATTTCAATATAAAATACGTGCTAATAGAACACATCATATTTTATGTACTTTGAAAATTTTATTGAATATATTAGGCTTACATACTGAATAAAATGTTGCTTTGGTTACAAAACAGATAATCGTAATCTAATTATTACCTAATTAACTATGGGGACTATATAACTATTAGGTATAAATATGTTTTATTTTTTCCAGTGTGTTTAATAAAAAATCTTGAATCCTAGATACATAAACACTCATATATATGATAAAAATTACGGTATACACATAATATAATATGCGCTTTCTGATACAAAAATAGTTAATATCATTGGTTGATAATAAAAAAACTTCAGTTAAACATAGTTTAATTGGTTTTTTTTTCCAGGAAAGGACCTTACAAATTATATACCTGATTAATTTAGTATCTGGTATCCTCTTTTTTAGTTCTAAATCATTAGCTCATGTAGAATTATTTTTTATTGCAAGATTTTTATCTGGTCTATCCGCTGGTAAGTCTTATCATTAGTTGTTTTGAATATTATTTCACATATTATTATATAAAAATACTCTTAAACTGATTATAATATTTGTTCTAGGCCTCACAATGGCAATGGTACCGATGTATTTATTAGAGTTATCACCTGCCAGTAAAAGTGGTTTATTTGGTGTGATGTTTACAGTAGGTTTGAACTTTGGTGTGGTGTTGTCGCAGTTTTTAGGCCTGGGAAATATCTTAGGTTGGTAAATATTATAGTTATTAATGAATTTAATAATTTTATTTTATATTTTTCAAAAATTCAAAATTTACTAAGATTGTAATTAAACAATTTTAATAATTAATAGACTTTCCTGTATTGTTTAGGTAATGAATCATCGTGGCATTACTTATTTAGTCTTTATGGAGGTTTGGTATTATTAGCACTTCCTACTTTAAAATGTATTCCCGAGAGTCCTAAATACTTGTATACTGTACGCAATGAACACAGCAAAGCATTATCAGGTATTTATCTATTATTTAAATTCTAATCATAATTCATAACTCATAAAGCTATAAGTTATAAAACACAAAATTGTTATTTTTAGAAACGCGATATCATAATTTGTTCATAATTTTTAGAACTAAGCAATTTAAGAGGAATGCCAATATCTGACATAAGCTGGGAATTAGAAAATTTACTCGTTTCTTCTGAAAGGTGGACCCTGAGAAAAGTTATCAATGAACCTTCTAGCCGTAAAGCCATAATAATCACCTGCATAATAATGTTGGGTCAACAACTGTCTGGAATTAATGCAGTAATAATTTAATAATTTATAAACATTGGTGTTACTAAGAGGGGAATGACTTTGGGTCATTAGTAGTTAGTACCCCTTCAATATTATCAGAATTTTTTGTTTTCATTTTTCATAGTGACCAGCTATTTTTTTACCCTAACTTGGCTAACCTATGTTTTCCCTTATTAAAAAGTCAAAATGCGCCAGTTATTATTAACGTTTTAAAATTTTCTACATTACATTACATTATTTAAATAATTGTAGGTGTTTTATTATTCTACGTCAATATTCAGAAATGCAGGAATGAGCACAGCTGGTGCTCAATATGGAAATCTAGGCGCAGGAGTAATAAACTTCATTGTAACTATTTTATCAACTACATTTATTGACAATTTTGGACGAAAAACATTGCTATTATTTAGCAGCACTATTTGTGTATTAATGCTCACAGCGTTAATGATTTCAATGATCTTATCTTCTATTGTAAGGATTTCAATTATAGAAGTTATTGACCTACTGATTATTCAATATAATTTATATTAACGTTTATAATACATGTGTTAGGGTACAATACCAGGAATATCTTATTTGTTGATAGTATTTGTTATTGGTTACGTTTTATTCTATGGATTTGGATTAGGTCCAATCCCATTTTTTATTGGATCAGGTGAGTTACAAATATTATTTTTAAATTTTAAATATTAAAAATTATAACCCGATAACTTTTTTTTTAGAACTAACCGATGTTGGACCCAGGCCTATTATCATGTCAGCAATGAGTGTTGCTAATTGGTCCGGAAATTTTTTGGTTGGACTTACATTTCCTTTCGTCAACCTTGTTCTCAAACAATACTCTTTTCTTCCATTCATCGTGTTCACCATTTTTTTAATCATATTTACATGGTAAGTGTTAACAATTAATTTGTATAGTATGTAATTAATTTTAAAATTTATATTATATGCATGTAATATGTTGTAATATTAATTATTGTGTATATTTTACATAATCTGTACAGGAAAGTGGTTCCAGAAACCAAGCAATCTCTCAGCCAACAGAGTGCCGATAGTGAATAAGTGCCGAGATCTTATTCATTTTTTTTTAATATTATATTAAAAATTATTATTGCCTGTGATTTTATCATCTACCTATATAAGCTGATATATACAATAAGATTATAGAGTTTAACTAGGTATATTGTAATATAAATGTATACGACATTTTTCAAGTTTATTTATTAACATTTATAGGATTTATTTTGTTACGTTCAGTACATAGTTTAACAGATAATTATAAGATGAATATTTTTAATATAAGTATACCTACTATATGAGAGATAATATTGTTCTGTTACATCCCAAATCGTGTCGATATATACATCAACTCAGGAAATGGAGACGAGATGTATTCAGGTATAATGTGTGTTAATATTACATAATATATTTAATACGAAAATACAATAGTAAACCATACTAAGACTGTGAGTGGTTTTACGACCGGCCTCCAATAGTGTCTTGCGTATTCTTAACCGTCTAATCGTTTGCTAACCCATGCTGAAACCGTCTGACGAGCTCTTATCATGGTCTTACACTTGTGTGTATGTGCGTCAAGGATTTGTCACTAAAACCCATGTGGTCACCCATCTGGGAACTAGTGACATCGGCCGGTGCTTGCACTCAGAAAAACACGGTTCATGTCTCGTGACCGAATGCATACACTGCGCCACCATGTAATATGATTGTTGAGCTATAATTTTCTAAAAATAAATACTATACATAATATTTTTAATTATAAATTATATTTAAAATTTGCAGAAATAACGAGAACTCTAAATTGTAACATAAATTTGTATAGTTTTATTTAATTATCAGTTTATAATATTACAAATTGCTGATTTTATTACCTAGTTAAAACCTCTAAGTGTTGAAAAGCTCATAAGTCATAGACCATAATATATATTTATTGTGATATATTTTAATATTTATTGTTAATTGCAAAATATATATATATTTGTAGTATTTTTACGACCCATATTAATATAACACTTTTTGTATAAGACATTTTTATCTATTACTGATTACCTAATAATAAACTAAACATTTTTTTTACACTTAAAATTATTTAATTATTATTTAATAGCAATCCTTTTAACGATTGTTAAAGAGTATTGTCTACTATTGATAAATACATCTTAAATAATTATAAATATCAACTGATGAACATTGCAACAATTAGGTACCATATGAATATTAATTATGTGCATGTGAAGAATTGTTGTTAGAATAGTTTTTGTTTAAGTATTTAGAATACTGGATAGGTATGAAAAGATCAAATATAACCACGAGCGAAAAGGTTGCCTTTTTTTGGTGTACCTATCTAATATTTATATTATTATAATAAAATAATATTTAGTTTATATTTCAGTTAAAAATTGATTACCTATTTCATTATTATCCCCAAATAATAAAATTCCTAGATCAGACTCTTCAGACCCTCTCCTCTCAGAATCATAGGTATACAATAATTTATTAATTTTATATTATATACAAATTTAAGACATCCATTACAGTAATACAGTGACATCCTCACTAATATAGGTAGCCGTAGCCTATATATTATGAGTTAATGGTTACAATAGTGCATTAACGCCTGTTGGGAAAAAAATATCTACAATAGGAAGACAAATGACAATTGTATACAACAATACCTAATTTTAAACGGGTTATGAAACATGGTAATAAACAACATTTTAGGAACACCGGCAAGTTAGGTTAGAGGAACAATTATATTATTTATGTACCTATACTAGCATATATAGTCACTACATTGTAGTCCCGTGTATATAATATATTATTATACATTATACCTAGTCGATCGACAATCGGACGCCCAGCAGTGGCCACCATAATTATAATTATAGTCATATAGGTCGACTTACTTGACGGCACCCTAGCATGTAATAAACACTAAACAGTAATAATAATTTACCCTTGAAAATATTGTTGTACCTACTACATACATGCAGACATGAATAAATGTTACATAATATGTATTTTAGACTAAACAAATTAGAATATAAAATATACACGGAAATAATATTTTTATAAAAACCTTAACGTCCTGTTTAATGTACAATCTATATTGTATATAGGTGCCCAGATGTGATCCATCAAAATAATATAAAAAAATTTCATTCAAAAAATGTAAGCATACTTTGTGGTTAGGTCTTAGGTACGTCGCGTAGACGTCAGCTTATATGCCACGAAGTGTACTTTAAATTTATGTTGCTATTATATTGCTATTATATATATAGTAATTTATTTTGATATTAGGCATACGGCTTAAATCGGAAATACCTAACTTAAAAGTTAAAATTAATCTAAATATAGGATTTTTTCCCTCTGTTAACGGAGCACTAGTTTCCTTTCCTGTAACAATCTATAAAAAATATTGATGTATTTCATTCCTCTCAAAGAGCTTAGAGCGATACCAACTAGTATAGGTATTATTATAACTATTTTTTATTTAAAACATTCTATACTAACCTATAACTTAGTGCGCTAACAGATTCACTTGTAAATTTCTGCTATGGCTATCTATGTATTTTTATTGTCAAATTGTTATAAGAATTTTCATTTTTCTGTGCTAAATTACTTCAGGCTATTAGGCTAAGGGTGTGTATTTCAAATAACAAATTTTAAAGTACATAAATGTAACAGTATGTTTGTTAGATTTTTGGTTTTCAGTAAGAAAGAAACACGAGTACCATGTGTTCAATTTATAATCCATAGCTATAAACTGACCAAGCTAATAATGGTACATAACATTAAATGGCCTGAGCAAGGAGTCCCATCAGTGTGGATACCGTCTAAGACAAAATATTTGCAAAGTTTCATATTATTGACGAATTTACATACGCTTATAAACAAAATCATGCCTTCCTAGGTTACCTAACCTCCATATTGTGCCAACTGTCAATACAAGGTGCCATGTTACTATGTTAGAATATTACATATAGCATATAGATATAGGTATATTAATTAGTTATAGGTACTTATATAGGCTATTGCTATATCATCCATGAGTATTTAAGTGATATTGTGTCTACGGTTGTATTATGTGTGTCTATCTTGTTTTACTTTACTTTATTAGTAAAATAATGAAATATTTTAAGTAGTTAACCTTATTAAAAAAAAATAAAAAATAGTGGACATTACCCTGTCTAACGGCTATCGTGATTCGTGACCTTGCGTATTAGTATCATAGACCATGGTCATAATATCAGGTACCTGACCTACTATAACCTAACCTATTAAGATATTATTCCATGCTGCAGTGGTGACATCTCAGAAACTTACTTACAGCTATTAATATTAAATACCTAATTTACTTGCAACCTGAGTTAATACAAAAAAAACAAAAACACGATATAGGTCCAAGGTCCCTATATAGTATATTAACTTATAGATGTTAATATCTTCTCTGCATCGTGCTTATAGGGTCGTATTGAAGTGGGGCCACGGGGCACGAGGACATTTTCCCCGGGTCACCAATTTTTGATACATTTAGGGGGCAGCCATGAACCAGTGACCAGTGTAATATTATTTAATACTGTGTAGGTAGGTAGGTACCTCAATACGGTAATACCTACTAATTTTTTACTATTAGTAATATTTTGTATAATATACTATAATACTATATAGGAATGTAGATTTATAGTAGGTAGGTATATTATATAATACGTAATATTACGTAGGTATGCGCATCCAGGGCCGGTTCAAGGGGTTGTCGACGTCGAGGTGTGCCATTGTGTATGTATTATGTATAATCTAAACGTATTAGGTGTGACGCACTACTGATTAACATCGAAGTACGGTTAGTTTGAAAACTAATAATTTGTAAGTAGTAACCAATCAGTGGTGTATTTTAGGGGGAGGGGGGACAAGGGGACCAATCTTCCCATAAGCTGTATATAATAAGCAACATTTTTCGGAGTCCTAACTCAAGGCCTCTCTATAGCTTGAAAAATGGGGCTACTGGATAAAATCATACCCCCTCCCGCATGTCAAAAACCTAAATACGCTACCTACTGTAAACAATTATTATTGGTAATCCAGTAAGTTTAACAAATTCATGAAATCAGGGGGACTTATTAATAAACAATTTTATTTAAACCATTATCAAGGGGCCTGTAGTATTAAACAAACTATGTGCTAATAGCCATTTTATGTATTTTGTTAAGTGTTGAGGAAAAGAGCCCTTTCATATAAAAAATTATTTCGCACTAGGCCCCACAAATCCTTAAGTCGGCACTGTGCGCTTGCACATCAATCACGTTAGCATATTATAATATATATATAATATTTTCCTCACATTAATAATTACATTAATAATCTATTAGGTATGAAAACAACACTGTTGAATATTTTCCTATAGAAGGGAAACCAAATGTATTTTAATATAGTGTTATTATGTATCTTTAGATAGATCAATCTTGTTTATATATTAGGTGAACCTAATAACCTTTCTGTAGCCTGTACCTAAGTACCTTGTACCTTGTACAAGTACAGTACCTATCTACATTACGAAATTATTGAGTTTTTACTTCTTAGTAGCCAGTAGGTATTTAATATAATTCGGAAGCAACAATATCATAGTACCAATGACCATTGTCTTTACAACTTAGTCTTTATTAGTGTCAGCTAATCAGAAATTATTTAAAGTTTATCAACGTTCCTATACAAAACTAAAATTATTATGGTGATTGGTGGCACTATAGTCTATAAGTACATTCAAATTGCATAAATCAATCATTAATTGAAGATAAATTGTAATAAAAAGAACATTAAAAGTACAAAATATAATGGGTTGTCTAAAAAACAGTTAATGGCCTACAATTAAAAAATACCTTAATAAAGGTAAGGGTTTAGTGCATCATTTGGGCATTGGAATTTGGAGTATTGCAGGACACATTCACTGAATTACTCGTGTCTCGTATACCTAGTCAATAGACATTGTCATAACTCATAATATTATTTTATATTATGCTCAAATAATATCATGTCTCATTCGCTAATCCTGGTCCCTGGATAGCGGATATCTGCTATCGGATACGACCATACATAGGTAATAATATAATATGTGTTTTCAGAATTTTCAACTAAATAATTGGTCACAGATTAAATTGGTAAAAATCAAATATCAATGTTAGTGGTGAACGACGAATCACGAATGTTTAGGTATAAATGTATAATAATATTTTATAAATTAACAGTTAACACTGACAAGTGACAACACGTCATGTACCTAACATGTAATATTGTTCAATAATCTATTGAATGTTATTATAAATTTAATAATATGTACGATACGATGTACCTATTATTTTAATTTATTTATATTTCATCACCACAGTCTACAGGTCACAATTACAACTAAGCTACTAAGCTACACATCTGGGCACATCAGAATTCGCAATATCAGAATCATACTATAATAATTCTTATCACTTATCGGACTTATCAGTCGTTTTTATATTCTTTATACCTATAATAAAATAATTGTTCAATATTGTTGACATGGTAAAGTATAAGGTCTACTATGAATAAAGCAATTTATTTAGTAATCACTAATCTTAACTTGATTACGTGCTTTATCACGATTGATGGTTGTTGATTTTATTTTTCCTTAAAACACTGAGCACAGTAAGCAGTAATTAATAATAATTTAAAATTGAGTATTACTGCTATTAAGTAATAACAATAATAAAAAATAATAATTCCGATTTCCGGATTGCGTTCGCGAAATAGGTACCTGCAATAACGTTTTTCTCCTTTTCTCTTATTTAATAGCGTTTGTTATAGCACACTGTCGGTGTCTCCCACCTCGAGTTACCAGCTTTTTTACGCACACGAGTCCGTTTATTATCGGCGGAGACGGTGGTTTCCGGTTCACCTTGTGATTATTGTTGGAATAATAATAATAATATTGCGGTTTCGTATACATACCCATTATATTAGACGTCATATTTTTTCCCCGTAGCTTTCCATACGACCACCGTAGCCGTCCGTGTCCTTTCCCTCTGCGACTCTGCACCGAACACTACGACTACAGTTCTCGTAGATTGTAGAATAATATCCACCGGCCGTGTTGAGTCATCCGTCGGTCGTTGCAGTCGCGAACAACGCTGAAGGCTGAACGCTCAGCAGTAGTACCTGAGCAGACGTCTCGCCGTAACCTCCGTCGCTCGTGTTTCGTTCACGTCCGCTTTCGCATTTCGTCATCGCCACACAGTTTCTCAATCCGATTCCTCATTGTATTATGCAAATGTACCACAGCCGCCGTCGCTAGTTTTTCGACTAAACACAATATTTTACCATTTTGATCTTTGGTCGCCGCTGAACAAACATGAACAGATTCGTTTTGCCGCTGTTGTTTGTCTGTCTGGGTGAGTGTTCTCAATTCTCGTCTTTGCGACCTATTGTCATGGACAGTATGGTCATGTAGTCACCTATATGTATATAATATAATGTTGTGCCTACTCTCTTTCTAATGTTCCCATTGTATTATACAAATCCGTACAATATGCTTTAATATGTTTTAGTTATTGGCAATAACGTTAACTGGGGCGTTAGTGGAATCGAAGGGGATACTGATTTGAATGATTTACAAGACACTGTGAAAAAGAAGTTTGCCCCGTTTGGTTTGCCCGATATCAGTCAGCTCAATGAATCTATACCGGCCTTAGACGAAGGTGAAAGAGTGTTGAAAGATAAATGTTTAAAAAATAGCCAAGCGAACGACTCATATGAATTGACTGTGGTAAGTCTTTTAGTTCAATCCATTTGATAAATTAAATTTTTATAAGTTGAAAGGTTAGGACCTAATTATAATTGTACTGATGTCCATACTAAAATTTAGTCAACGAACCGCATTTCAATATAATGTGGTAAAAATGACACAAACTGCTATATTTTAAGCCATATGGTAAAGAAATAACCATAATATTAACTATTATTAAAATTATACCTACATCATTATTATTAAAACTAATGAAAATATACTTAAGTAGGTAGGTAGGTTAGGTAAGGCCAACTTAAATAGTTTTTTTTTTTTTTTTATTCATTTTGACTTAACAAACTGTATTATCTAAACTAAATTTTAATTTAAAACTTGATAACCCTTGTAATCTGTATACCAAAATTAATGATTTGATTGTATCTTTCATAAAAAATTCTTAATAATATAAGTTCTCATATAAGATATAGGTATAAACCTTTTTTAAATGTTTTAAATTAAATTAATTCTTATTTTGTTTAAAATGTAGGTACCTATTAAAGTGTAATGTGTTTAATGACCATTCTGTATAATACGATAACCTTATAACCTATTGCATATAATATATGTACCTATGTAAATTTAAAAAAACCTAACCCAACTGCTTCTACAAATATGTAGAAATTATTAAAATACTAATATACTTATTAACTAGGTACTAACATTATAGGATACCTACCTACTAAAGAGTAATAAATAGTTGGATTCAATAAGACTTTACATTTTGGAAAGCACTTAATTTTTTTAATATACCTTAATACTATTTTCAATCCGGTATTAATTTAATATTAAATTTAGTTTATTGTTAAAATTTTTAAATATAAAAAAGAGGAAAGTAGGTAACCACTCTGCTGTACAGTAGATGTTTAGTGTACCTTGTTAATCACCATAGAGTAAGTCACTGTAATTTTTGTGCTAAATTTGAATTCAATGATACAATAGCATTACATATGAGAAAATAAAGTAAGCTATTTTGCTATACATTTAGTTGAATTAATTTTTGGCAAAAAATTGCATTTGAAAATGTAATGATGTCTATAAAATATAATGATATATAAACAAGTTTCAAGTCCCCACAAATAATATTGTGCCCATGTGCCTACTTATCTTTAATATTTTTAATTATCTGTAATAACAACTTATGAGGAACCTTGTATTACATTTTCAAGCATTAAACAAAGAAAAATAAATTTTACCTCAATGTACCAACTATAAGTTCAATTTTCTTTTAGAAGCAACTAATATAAAGATCTATAGGTACCAAGGAAATTGCTTCTCTAAATTGTAATTAGCAGGTTTCATTTGTACCTTGTCATTGTGTAAAAAAAAATACTATTCTGACCAGAGACATGATTCAGATACTTCTAAGAATATTTTATAATTTATTACTCTTAGTAATACGGTGGGTATACCTGTACTATATTTTATTTATTGTACCTAATGTACTAGTATTATATCATATATTATTCTACTAACCTAACTTATAAGTCAATACCAACGTAGGTCAATACTACATTCGATGTAAATGGGTTTACGGATATAATTAGCTTAAAATTAAGTAGTCTAAAATTCTAATAAATTCACTGTATATAGAAAATAATAGTTTCAAAAAGTTCTTTCGATTCATGAATTTTGAATTACAATAAAATAAGAAAAGTCATTATATTTTTACTTAATTGTAAAACCAATACATTCATTGCACAGCTCAGAATCTAAAATAACAATGTTATACCTGCATGGTTGCATGTAGACATAAATACATTCTATAATGACCTTGATGATTTTCAACAATTTTTACCCAAATTATTGTGGCCTTCATTCTAACAACATAAATAGTAAATACACATAAATTGTCTACACTAGGTTGTAGATGACTAGCAGTCAATGATCATGCTGTTTACTTACAAAATTACCTATTGCCGTTGAATAGATTTTAAAACACAATGGTAAGGTACTTGAGTACCTATACTTATATGCAATTTCATTCTATACAGCTTCAAGACATATTTTATATTTTATTTTGTCATAGTTGTAACTTGTTAAGTACACAACTCAGCAGGTAACATGTTAGAAAATACTTAACCTTTTCTTAGGTATATGTGATTTTAAACATAAGTAATTTAACAATTATATTTGATATTCTTGAATTTAACACAAATAGAATGGACAGTATGGTATTAGACAGAGCTTTCAACTGTAATGTTGACCATTTAAAATTTTTAATTGGTTGTTTTGGCTTATTTGGATGTTATACGTGCCTATGGGCTTGAAAAAGAGCATTAAAAATTTAGTTTGGTGTGCTAGGTGAGTAGATGTGAATAATGGATTATGAAGCGTTTTTTGTTATCTAGTGAGATTCGTATTTAGTTTATTGCGGATTCTAGGTAAGACGTTTATCTAATGTTATTCCTAGATATTTATTTTTGTGTGAATTAGGTATTTGTATATTATTTAGGCAATTTCCATTTCGTAGATTTGTATTCATTAACTTCAAAGCGTAATTTTTTACCAAACAGAAACCAATCAGCTTAGTTAAACATGAATGTTGGTTAATAGAAACCTATAACAAAATATTTAATTGCTCCAATAAAAAAATAAGCATTTTTTGAAATACATTATCTGTGCATTTCAGTTTTTAATAAACTCTATGAAATGCTAGCAAATATAAAATATTCTACAACTATAATTGACATATAAAATATATTTTATATGCATTGATACTTATATTGTAATTATACTATCCTGTTAATAAGTTCAAAGTACATCGTATTTGTACATCGCTACATTTTGTCTGATTGCACAAATATTTTACTCATATTTTAATGAGGTTGGTCAATTACATTTATATATATCCTTAAGATTTCTATGTTTATGTAATTTTGTATTATGTAATTTATAAAATGTGTTTCATACATGTATAAAATAATACAATATACAACAATAATATGTTACAATAATAAAAACACAATATATTTCTAGGTAGACTTCTTAGCATATCTATTACTTCTACTAAAATTATCTATAGTTTGTAAAGATAAATAATTAAATGATAAAAACATGGAGGTTATTATATTACAAATTATAATATAGAGTTGAATGAGCAAAATGTATTTTGTGTTAAATCTGATTATAGACCTTCAATTTTCCCCGTTAAACTGGATAAGCAAATTAAACATACAATTATGCCATTATCAATGCCATACTATTAAACCCGATGAGTATTTAATGATTTATACAATTTATTTGTTTTACCTACAAATATATTATGTCATATATTATATTTCACGATAATAATTTTTCAAACACTACAATAACATTGAAAATGTAAATGTCAACAATATGGTTATTAAAATACAAATAGCATTGATAAATATATTTTTTTTAATCAGTTAATGTAGGTAGGTATGTAAATGTTACTGATAAAATTATTTGTATATGCACAATATTAAAAACTAAAAATAATTAATAATAAAATATTATTGAGATTGCCATGAGAACTTGTATGTTATAAATTAAACATAGTGAACTCATCTGCAACAGTGGTGCAAATCATTTAACTTTTACAGGGCAAACCTAGACCAACCGGCCACACTAACAACCATTATTATGAGTTAATGAGTATAATATTACTTTTACAATATAATTATTTATTATATAACTTTTACGGCTTTACCAGGTACTAGGATCCACCATTTAGGTACACACAAACCTACCACAATTTCCTGCTTCATTTACCATCAACGTCAAATTAAGTTTTTTTTACTATTTACTCAGAGAGTAAGGAAATTGTAATATTTTAATGTAGGTACCATAAATGTTATCTACAATACATTATTGGTCGATCGTTAATTTTTTTAATGATTTATTTTACAATCTGTCACAAAAAAGTTAACAGAATCAAAATAAAATTTATTGTGCATATAATGACGTATATGAATATTGAATAATGGTTTTGTTTATTATTTTTTATTTTTAATAGGTAGGTTATTATATATTTTATTTCAAAATACTTAAATACCTATTTCGTATTAAGGTTATCAATAAATACATCAAATTACAAAAACTGTTTGTCTGACTAAAATTCCAACTTTGAACTTTAAAATTATTAATCTACTATGTAGTAATAATTGTATACCTATTAATATAACATGAGATTTATAAATGATAATATTATAATAATAATATATATATATAAGATTTTATATTTGTTTATAAATACTAATCCTTAAAACCATTTAGTTTTAACTTTTTATGGAAAAAGTACTTTTTTGTATAACTTGTATAGTCTTATTATTAGTTTATAGTTATTTTATTATTGACATTTTTATTTATATCATATAAAAAATATACAAGAAATTTATATTAACATGTAATTACAGTAGGTAATAGGAAAACAACAAATTGAGTTTTTGTTTTTTTTTATGGTTAGCAAAATATTGAATTCTTATAAAAGTTATCTTGAAATAATAAAAATGTTCAGATAAAATAATAATAAAAATAACTCATAAAGATTTGCTTATTCAAATAATAGTTTTTTTTTTTATTATTCAATTATTTACATTTTACCTATTATTTAATTGATGTATATAAATACGCTTAAATTGTTTAAATAATTTAATTTTTGTTTTTAGGAGGCGAAGAAAGATTTTGAAGTTTGTGTAAAATCTCTAGTTGATGTCACAGAACTAAAAAAAGAGATTAATGAAGCTAAACCTAAAGGTGATCTTGATATGGTATTTAAAAAATACTGCAGGTGAGTAAAAAAAATAGATTAAGGGACTAGTCCAATGTGTGGTCTACCAACATGGTTCACCAATACCTATTTATATATTGTGCTACTTTTATTGAGTGACACGATCATGCTTCATTAAGGGGCCTCGCTATGGCATTGATTTTAGGAGAATCATTTTGGCAATTTCTAATCTCGTCATCGCCACTCGAGATCTATGTGTTCGTCATAAATGATTATTAGTGTGTGCGGCGTCCATGCGGGTCAATTATAGCTATACGGAGGGCTCTCGTACGCACATTTAGTATGTAATACTGTGATCATGAAAAAATGCTTATTTTTCACTCAAACATACGATTCTAATTCCAACAATACGTCGCAACGATTATCTCGATTTGCATTCTGGCAAAATATTTTATTTTTTTCCACAACATGTACAAGGGATCGATCGAGGCACATTTTTAAAATTGTATTTAGTTAATTAAATATTTAAGTTGAAAATTCTAAATTTTTTTGAATTTTTTATAATTTTTATTGCAATTTAAATTACAAAAATTAAAAATGTGGCTCGATCGTTCCCTTGTATATATTATGGACGACAACAATTTTTTTCAGAATCAAAATCCTGATAATCGTCAACACGTATCGTTGGAATTAGAAAAAGTAGTTGTTGACAAAAAAAAAGACATTGTAGTGAGGCCCCTTAATAGTGGAGAGGCACAATTCATTTTAAATTTTATTTGGTCTTGACTAACTTGCACAATGATTCTATTGTTTGAGAATGAACTTTCCAGTATTAGGATACACAAAATATTCAGTATGATTCACAGTTTAGTGAATAAATAATCCAGAGTCTTTAAGAGTTTTATATACTTATCGCTGATCACTGTGATTCATTGTACCAATTCCTACCTCTATTTCTATAATTCAATTGGTGAAATTGTTTGTCAATCTCCCCTTTTCAACAATGAATAATTGTCATTCAGTTTTGTTGTCATGATTACAAGACAAAACAAATACCTACAGGCCTTGTATTTGATTTCTACAATTCCATTGATTATTTTTACCTGAGCTGCATTTTCATAATTTGAAATATCTTGTATGACATAAGTAGATGCTAAATAGTAACTGAATGATATTTTAAGAATTGAATACTTAAACACTTCTACAAATCCAGTTGTATCAATGTCATTAAAATATTATTATATATTGTTTAAATATCAGTTATTGGTGGATTACACATTGGTCTGGTTTTTAGATTAAAAGTAAATTCAAATTTATAAATTGAGAATTTTTTTTTTAGAAAGTCACCAGATTTTAAGGATTGTGTTTTAAACTTCACATCTACCATAGATGTGTGTTTGGACGAAAGTGAAAAAGATAGCAAAAAAATTCTTCAGAGTGTCACAGAAGCTTTATTATCATTTGTATGCCATGATGAGGGTGATCGTATAGCATGTAAGATAAAGTTATTGATATAATGTTTTTTTTTTTTAAACTTCTATTCATGTATTACATAACTGAATAGTAATTATTTTTCTTTTAACAATAATAATATGCTGTATGTTTATTTAGTATTTTATTCAGAGGGTGGTCCAGATTGTTTGATGGATAAAAAGGAAGCCATACAACACTGTCTAAATACATCATTTAGTAAGTACACTAATGGTGGTGAACCAAGCTTGGCTAGCTTACCAGCATTCAAATTTGAAGAAGATCAATGCAAGTATGTATCTGATACCTTGACAACTTTATGCTTAATGATGAACTAATAGAGTTTACTTATTTTATTTCATAGGAGTATGTCTGAGCTACAAGTGTGTGTAATTGCTGAGTTATCAAAATGTGGAGAACCAACACCCGCTAATATTATTGAGTCATTGTTCGAGTTTGTACGTCGATCAACACCATGCTCAAAATTTCAGAGTGCTCAAGTACGGAAAACCTCTGCAGGTGTTTCGTTACACGCAATGATCTCTATTACAGCATTATCTAGTTTACCAATCCTGTTAGGTCGAATTGGATTTTACTAGTATACTGGCAGTACTTACAGAATAATTAAACAGTTTTAAATAAGGCCTATAATCAAAATCCTTAATATATAATAAGACCTATGTTAAACCAAACTAAATTTATATATTATATATAATAAATTAGACAGTAATGTTATTATTCAAGAATATTCGCCCCCCCCTTTTTTTTTACATATTTGTGTAGCAAGAGCTAACTTGTACAAGTACATTTGAATAGTATACAAATTGATTTTTAATTGTGGAGCAATATTTTCTTAGAATTAAAATAATATTTATATCAGAAAATAAATGTAATTACACCAATCTAAAATAATATATTTTTTTAATGAAAACAATGTTAAAATTATTTTGTAGTGACAATATTATTTAGTGTTCAAAATCATGAATTAGTTATTCTTAATTATTTAGGTGGTTGCAATGGCCTACTGCTTTTATCTCAGATTGTTTATGTTATTATAATTATGGTCAATAAGTGTTGGTGTTTAGGATAAAAGCATAACTTATTTTGTACACCCTGATGTTAGTGTGTACAAGAATTTTTTTTAACTGTAATTTATGTTTTTTATGTTTATTTATTTTATATGTGTAACCCCAAAATAAAAAAAAAATATCTTTTGTTTATTATTGTATAATATACTGCTTTATTACCAACTTAAGAACATACACAAAATATTCCTATTAAATACATTATGAGTTAAAATAACTTATGTGATACAATCTATATTATTGTTAACGAGTTATAATAAAAATGATTAATTATAATTCAAATATATATTGCTACAACATTACAGTCTCAAAGTCTTAAGAGGATGTCTTACCCGCATGTGTCTCCTTCTTATGAACGCGTAACATAGCAAGTCTTATTTTTAGAATAACCTATCTGACTTTATTATGAACATATTAAAATTGTAATTTTTTTTTAATTTTAAAATGCTCACAATGTTCTCTAAATTGAAATAACAGAAAAACCATGTGTGGCACTCTAGAGAATATTTTTGAAAAAACTTGATTTTAAAAATAACTGTGAATAATGGATTATTTTGAACATAAAATATTGTACATTCATAAAATAGAGATAACCTGTGCTGGTACGACATTCTGTAGTTGAGATTTGAATTCATTCATTTAGTTAATAGAGCAATAAAAATATATACCAAACACTAAAAAAAGCTCGTTTTCATAACAATGTTGATTCAACCGATGACTATGATGATTATGAATTTCCTTTTTTATTCAACCAAGATGGACAATTTGTATGTGGCAGATTGGATATAGCACTTGGTATAAATCGAAAATGGCTCAAAATATTCTCTAAAAATTCTTGATAGGTATTTCTAGGAACAATTTAAAATTTTTACTACAATTTCAAGTAGTTTTTGAGTATATAAGCTACAAACAGGTACATGATTCAACTCTCGTCTCTCATATTTGTTTTAAAATATAATTTCTTTATCGGTGGTCATAAAAGGAAGATGCATGATTTTCCATCATCTGCCCAAGTAACCAATGGCAACCATTTATATACAAAAAAAAAAAAAAAATACTAATTACTACTAATTATTTGATATTTCTCCTTTTACTATTATAATCTGTAAGGTGTACCAATGGTGTCCATCTGTGAACATAATAATTTTCGACATATATCCTAAATCTCGAATCATAGTGTGTGGACCTCCTTTTCCAATTTTTCTTTCTGTAAAAACCATATTCGGACAATTATGGACGATTAAAAAAAAAAATCTGTCTCAACAATTGTCCGATTGTTTTCAAGTGATTAAGTACCATTATTGTAACAATGAACAGCATTTAATTTTAATTAAAAATTATTTTTATTAACATCTTGGAAATATAATTTTTCTACGTAGTTGGCAAACTATATTATTGTATATTTGTATGTGATGACTGATGACCATGTGTAAGACGTATCATGTCGCTTAGTTCTTTGGCAGTATATACTATTAGATATTACTACACATAGAACTATACATTTCGTATTTATATAGTACCTCCTTGTATACAATATTTTTGGTTCTTCCTTCGGGAAGCAGTATTACCAGACTATCAGGAGAGCTTACACGTGGCTCAACAGGCTACGTATAATTGGCCATGGGAGAAACAATCATTCCTTAAATCCACTCCTGCCACTTTCAAAGACTGTCCTTGGGCTTTGTTAATTGTCGTGGCAAAACATACCTTGGTATAGTTAGTGTCTATTCATATACCACCAAGTTGTATCTAACATCTAGTCTTCGCATTCTTTTATATTCTTGGGTAGTATCTTTTCTATTTTGAAGAAAACAGTAGATGCGTTAAATTTAAAAATTATATAAAACTGCAGGGGTGGTCAACTTGCAGCTGGCATCTCATTTACAAAAACCTAAATTTACTTATTGTTATGTATTAAAATTTTTTTGTTATACATTAATTATAAAAAAAAAATATATATTTATATTGTATAGATAGGTAAATTAACAAAAATATAAGTAAATAAATTCTTTAGATACATGTTTCTTGATAAGTCAAATATTTTTACATTGTGATGACGTAAAATTCTATTATTTACTATATTGTTCAACAATAAATTATAACACATTAAAATACAGATATACACCAAATCAGTGAGCTATATTATATATTTATTTTTTACTACATTAAATGACACACGTTTATTAATAAATACATTAACCATTAACCATTAACCATTTAGGTTACTTTAAGTACATACATTGATAAATAATATGAATACAATATAATATGAAAAATATTACAAATTTTCAAATATTGTATTATTGATTAACTATGCAATACAATTTATATTAATAGGACATAGGTAATCAATGATATCATATTAGATTAATTGGCCCACGTAATTTTACAAAAAACAATACAATACAATACAGGACAAATAATTTTATAACCGAATCGACACGATTGATTTACATAATAATGTTATAATACTAGGTCTTGGCGCTTATATTATTAGTATATATAAATATATTGTAAATTTGTAGGTACCTATTATAGTATGTGATGTTATGATATACAGTCAACAGATCGATAGGAACTTATGTTGAGACGTTCAGTTAGGATGGAATGAGAAATCAGCCGTATCGCTTTGACGAATAGTAGGTAAATGCCTACCTATTAATATTATTAGTTATTCCTTAATAACTCACAACACATTTCACTCCATTAATAAATATTACAATCAACTGTTACTGTTTTTTATCGCCCCATATGTAGTGGCAGCTCCATTTGGGTTTTTCAAAATATCCGTGTCGGGTAATTGTTCGTACGATTCTTTGACTTCTTTTCTGTGCTGGATATAGAGCCACCTTAAATAAAACAACGAAATTACACTTTGTACATATTATTATTTATTAAAATTTACAAAATTATAACCATATTTTTTCCACGATTGAAATCACAAAATCAATATTATATTTTAATTTCCAAATTGTTTTACAATCGATAATGATTAATCTGTTACAAATTTATTTTGTCAGTTAAACTAGTCGTAGAAGTAAAATGTATCTAAAAATGCATGGATTATGAAAATTTGGTAAAAAGTACGAAAAGTTTCAAAATTGGCTAAACATAAAGGAAAACTACGATTTGGCGGCATTTGCCCCCCCCCCCTTGGATCCGCCACTGCATATAATTAATAAATAGCTAGGTATAAGGTATATAATATACTATAAGTACTTACAGATAGAGAAAAATGGTCGGGACCGTTATGGCCGCAGTGACTAAGAAATAAGCGCTGGGGAAGTAGTCCACGGTGGATTCGTATACGTAACTATACAGTGGGCCACACAAAATGGGCACAACGTTTTCCCCGATGCCCGTGACTGCGCTTACTTGGCCTACAAAATAAAAACAACAACGAAATTGTAAAATTGTATAATGATAATAATATGGGTAGGTTGTCTACATCGTATGTGACATGTATATAGGGTACTCACCGAGTTCTTGGGCAGGAATTATTTTGTTTATGATCGATTTCATGGAAATGATGGCCGGTCCTTGTAAGCAGTTCACAAGCGCCCCTGAAATCGAGATTTTTCGTTACAACAATATTATTATGAAAATGGTTTACATTTACAATATTGTTATTATTTAAAAGTATAGAATGCCGACAAAAGTCTTGTAAAGCATTTTAATACTTTTTTTGTATTCGAATATTATTTTAAATACCTACTTTTTTTATAAAGTATTCGAATACGTATTCTGAAATCTGAATTCTTTTATTTGTATTTTTTATTCATTAAGAAAATAATTTTTTTTTGTCCAGAAAAATAGTTTTAAATTTGTGATAAGACATGTTATAAATCATGGACATTAACTATATTCTTTGATCGAAACATAATATTATTGGCTCATGATATGATTATTTTTATTAACGTAAATGTGTTGTATCTCGTATCGGCCATATCGTATTATGTGATCAAAATGAATAAATAACTTATGATTACCATGTATTTTTAATAGTTCATTATTAAATGTTAATGACTATAACCATTCAAAAACTGACAAAAACTAGTTGTGAAAAAAAATATTCGAATAGAATACTTTTTAAAGTATTCGAATATGTATTCTGAATATATTTTTTTTTTATTAAATTAAATTATTCTTTATAAGACTAAAGACTGGCCGACAGTAATATCAATGATATTTCATATTAATATGTTATTTTAATATTATGCTGGTATTCGTATTCGCATCGATTACCGATGACGTTACTGATTAAGTTTTTTTTTGGCACTCGACACTCACCTGTATAGAACACGGCCACACTGGAGGCGGATGCGAATATGAATTGCGATATTAATTTTCCAGTAGTAGCCACAGTGCCTATCAACGCGTCGTCAACGCCGAACTTTCTGACCACGACGCCGAGAACGACAAATGTGCCTGTGGGATAAAAAAAATTCCGAATTAATTATGACCACCTTACAATGCCGACAAAGCCATGCGCTGGACAGTATTTATAATCAATGTTAATACTGAAGTAAGTTTTCGGCATTACTGACCCACGAGATTGATGCACATCGTGGTGGTCGCGTACACGCTGAATTCCACTTCGTTCCAATTAAACTTGACTCGAGTAAACAAATACGCAACGCCTTTGTCACCTATAGAATCACAAAGAATAATAACATGAGTACCTATAATAATAGGTATAAGGTGCTAGGCGAGACGCACCCATTTGTAAGATTTGAAATAATATTTCGATGCATTCTGAGTGCATATTTTTATTTTTTGCACTGTGTTACAAAAATATAATCAAATATTTGAATAACAGTTTAATAGTTTATAATAATGGAGTATCTCTGAAGATCAATAATATTATAATACGTAATTAATATAATGGAACAGTGTAACATTTAAATAAATGTGTAAAAACGAATTAATAGGTATACCTATAATGTCGTATACAACATATACCGGCGATTTGTTATTACTGACAAAATATTTAAATACATTTCGATGACATGGTATATGGAAAATCATAATAATAAGGGACTAAAAATATATTTAGTTATTTATTTTTAATGTCTATTGTATTATTAGTCTTATTCAAAATATATAAACTGTTGTTTTAAATTTAAAACACTTCGAGGTTTGACCACACATATTTTGTAAAACATTAGTGAAAAAAGTGCCGCCATATCCTCTACCCGGGCATGGCAGATAGTAGATACCTAAGGGGGTACAAACTTAAAAATCTGCTATAAACTACACACACGTGTTTACAGTTTACACCTACTGTTCCCTTCCCCCACAGTTTAAAAAAAAACCACCCAATGGCCTAAGTTGCCGCGGGTTAACTAATAAAAAAAAATAAAAAAAATTTAATGAAAAAAAAACGAAACAGATTTATACAATAATTATTATTAGTCTAGTTTCTGCGTTAGAAATTCTAAAGCCGGGATTTAAAATAGTTCAGGACTCTTAAACTGGTTTTTATAGCAATACATGTTCCACATGCCATACTAAAATGAATCTTGAATTTTGGTTACTAAGGTATAGGACATAGGTAGTATAGGTTCTTACTGTTACGGTTACGTTACGTAACTTAACAAAATTTCGAAAGGAAATATGTAGTCTGAATACATTCTGACCTTGAAAATTGTATTAAAAATCCCTCATAAATTATTCTCACAGCAACAAAAAATTCACAAAATTCATAAACATAATATTTGTTACATACATTTCAAGTTCAAATTTTAACAAAATTGAATATATTTAAACAAAAAATAAAGATTTTAGTTATTTTGTTGTAATTCAAAATATATTATTTGTAGAGACTTGAAAATTTTCACCACTATTATTTGTTTAGTATTTTCCAAAATATATCGATTAAACTCTTAAAAAAAAAAAAAAAAACTAAAACTTTAAATGTAATACGACGGTTCTCAATAATAATTTATTTCGCACTATATTACGGCTCTGGTCAGCAATAAGAATATACAAATTATGTTAGATAGGTATATAGCTGGTATTTTATTATTTATAAATAATTAAAATAAGGCTTGTGTAATTTCACTGATTGATGCGTGTTCGTAATAATATAGGTACATGTGTACCCTGTAGGCAGTAATTATTAATAATATAATAACGTGATTTCAGAATTTAATATGATTATTGAGTAACTAGAAATAACGGAATGTACACCTACCTAATGTACCTACATAGGTAACACGAATGAGAATAAAAAACGTGTATGACGAATGAAATATGTTATTAAATATTATTTTCCCTTGGCAATTTAATAAGTCGATTAAAAAGAATGTCGTCGAAGTTTTTTTAGTAGGTATACCTACCTACTTTAGATAAACGATCAACGATATTATATTATGCGCTATAATATTAATTATTATTTAAACATATTATATATATATAATCAAAAACAAGAAGTGTTATGCACCTATACGCTATAATATTAGCACCCAGCTATTATCAATTAAATTCAGATAAAAATTAAAGTATATCAATATTGTAATTGTTTAATTTCCAGGAAATATATTATAATTATTATCTACCGTTGCTATTCGATAAATGGGAGAGCTGATAATAATATTCAAGTATTAACACTAATTGTTAGGTATTTTATAATTTATTGTTATTAATGTTTTATTTTAATAGGTACATCAGACGCTGTTCTTTGAATTTATTCAAAATTGTTTTGAATGAAACCTTTTGGCTTTTTATGTTATTTATTCAGGTTTCTTTTTTTCTTTTTTCTTTTTTCTTTTTTTTATTAACTAACCCGCGGCAACTTAGGCCATTGGGTGGTTTTTAACTGTGTGGGAGGGCACTGTATGTTTAAACACGTTTACACAGTTTGGCAGATTTTTTTAGTGAGCACCCGTAGGTATCTGCCATGTTTGAGTGGGGGATGGTGGCGCTTCTCTCCGGACACCGAGACTTGCCAGAGGAAAAAAGACGCCCGCGGCCGAGGTTTTGAACCGGCGTCGGTGCAAGTAGCCACCGACGCCTTAGTCACTTCGTCCCCCAATTCAGGTTTCTTGTGTTGGTAGGTACCTATATGGCTATATCAATAACGTTTAATATTTTTCTTACTATTATATCTTTACTCCAGATGTTATACAATATAATTATATTATTTACATAGATAATAAAGATATGGATACGACATAATGGTCTTATCAGCGGTCTTCGAGGGGAACAATTGAGGCCAAATAAAGTATACCTATATGAGGGAGTATCGACTATCAATCACGGCTATAGATAAAGGAGCCTCAATTGCCTCCCCTTTCTGGAACTCGGCCTCAAATATATTTAACATAGGCGCGGCCTATCCATATCTTTATTATCTATGATTATTTATTACATTATTAATATAATGATAATACTATTATACAGGGTGGAGCGTAGAAACCGCATAGTTTTTGAACCACTAGTACATGGCAACGGGAGGGGTTATTGACCTCGAACGAATGTTGGTAGACGACCCAGCCAATGCCGTTTCAGTCGCTATGGAGCGTTGGAACGTAGAGCATCGTGTGTTCGTGGTAGAGCAGTATTTTAGAAACAATGATTCCGTAGTCAAAGTTCAACTTCTTTTTCGTCGAAATTTTGGAATTGGTCGTCGAGGTGCAGTGCCTGATCGAAATACTGTACACCGATGGGTTGCAGCGTTTAGAAGAACTGGATCAGTGATGAAAAAGAAACCAACTGGTACTACCCATTCAGTTCGAATTCCTGAAAATGTAGACCGAGTAAGAGCGGCATTTTTTGTTAGTCCAAGACGATCGGCCTGACGACATGCTGTAACACTGGGTATGTCTCGTCGTTCGCTTCATTGCATCTTACGTAACGACCTTAAGTTTCACCCATACAAGATAATGATTGTCCAGCAGCTTAAGGAAGGGGATTTTGTGCAGCGCAGAGAGTTTTGTCGCTTAATGGACGAAATTTAAACGGAAAATGGAGATGCTACAGTTTTCATAACTGATGAAGCACATTTTCACCTAAACGGTTACGTAAATGTTCAAAATTGTCGGTATTGGGCGTCGGAGAACCCACATGAATTACACCAAAGACCTCTCCACCGTTTAAAAGTAACAGTGTGGTGCGGTATTTCAAAGATGGGCATTATTGGACCCTATTTTTTCGAAGAGGGTTTTTTTCCTTCCATTCCGCATCTCCATTTTCAGTATAAATTTCGTCCATTAAGCGACAAAACTCTCTGCGCTGCACAAAATCCCCTTCCTTAAGCTGCTGGACAATCATTATCTTGTAATGGTGAAACTTAAGGTCGTTACGTAAGATGCGATGAAGCGAACGACGAGACATACCCAGTGTTACAGCATGTCGTCAGGCCGATCGTCATGGACTAACAAAAAAGCCGCTCTGACTCGGTCTACATTTTCAGGAATTCGAACTGAATGGGGAGTACCAGATGGTTTCTTTTTCATCACTGATCCAGTTCTTCTAAATGCTGCAACCCATCGGTGTACAGTATTTCGATCAGGCACTGCACCTCGACGCCCAATTCCAAAATTTCGACGAAAAAGACGTTGAACTTTGACTACGGAATCATTGTTTCTAAAATACTGCTCTACCACGAACACACGATGCTCTACGTTCCAAAGCTCTATAGCGACTGAAACGGCATTGGCTGGGCCGTCTACCAACATTCGTTCGAGGTCAATACCCCCTCCCGTTGCCGTGTACTAGTGGTTCAAAAACTATGCGGTTTCTACGCTCCACCCTGTATATTTAAATTATACAAATTTAAATTGGATTTTCCCGGATTTATTGGAAGTTCAACAGACGAGGTCTACTATTTTATTATAATCGTTTTTACAATAATCATTATACTGCAAACACTGCACAACAAAATATCGTTTCAAAAAATATTATAATAACTATATTAATTAATGTAGGTACCTTGCAATGGACCCATGATTCCAGTTATGAGCAACGTCAAAGCGATAACTTTCATTCTTCTATTGTTTTTTTCCTTTTTGAATGTCACTTTGAACGCGTCGACTATGTGATTTAAACTGAAAAAGAACTTGATGCGAGCCCAATAAGACCTTTTGTGTTTCTTACCAGAATCGAATTTTATCTGTTTTGTGTCGTGAACGAAAATGTGAGCCATCCAAATACTGATGCAACAGAGTATCAAAGCTATGATGTATACTCCGGTAAATCCAAGTTCACGATATAATATCCCTGACAAACCAGTACCTATAGGAAGACATAAGGCCATTGTCGCGTTTACTAGACCAACTCTTAAGGTTTTATTTTGTTCCTATATGTAAAAAAAAAAAAGAGGTATATTAATGTAACTATATATACATTTTATTATATAACTAACTACTTCATAAAAGTTGAATGCGTTAGCCGTTAGGTTTTGGACAACTCAATGCGTTTTTGTTACTATGCATTTTGAACTCTATAAATATGACCTTCGTGCAGTTAATAAAATAATTTCGTAAGCTAAACAATTTATGTATTTCTTCAAGGAGATAATGATAGGGGACCACCTCATGGAAAAATAGTTGTATGAAATCGATGATTATAATTTATTATGTTAAATAAACACTAAACAGTGTCTTACAAATAATATACAGGGTGTTCCAAATTTCATGTGACAGCAGATTTCAGCATGATATATTTAAATTAGGGGAAAATGACCCATGTGAAAACTGTTTTGAATCATATAATCTAAATTAATTTGATATTAAATATTTTTTTTATTAATTAGGATGGGGAGGTTTGAGGGTCAACTTTTAAAATTCAAATGGGAACCTATATTTTTGAAATATAATTCGTGCATAGTTTAATTTTTAATGAATTTTGACGGTTCATTTACATTTATGTGATAATAATTGAAGGAGCTATCGACATCTGAATATTGGTGTTAATTTATAAAATGTCAACAGTGAATAATACTAAAAGTGCTTCCGTTGTACGACCTTAATAATCCGGGTATCGAATTATCAATTTATTACAGTAAACAGTAGTCAGTTCAAAGTACTACAGTAGGTATACCGTTTGATACTCAGATATAATCTAAGGTTTGATATAACTATCATATCACGGACTAAGATATACAGGACTGGACACGACAAGGTTGGAGGGTGTGGGGGGGTTGACTACGAAATGTTTTACAACAGGCAGTGTTCGGGGGGATATTTTCCTTTTAGCATTACTAGCGCCGTCCTAGTGGATACTTATGGAACTAGAACACATCATACAAATTTCTAGTTCCATAAGTATCCACTAAGACGGCGCTAGTAATGCTAAAAGGAAAATATCCCCCCGAACTCCGCCTGTTGTAAAACATTTCGTAACCACAATATTCATCTCGTGTCCAGTCCTGTATATCTTAGTCCGTGATCATATAATTTTATCAATGATAAATGATATTATATTTTATAACCTTAAAATTATTTGATGTTTACCAATGTAACGTGTATACATCCGTATACCTAGGTATAGTATGTAGTATTGTCATAGTGCTACTCAGTGATAGTACCTATCTTTGATATACTAATCTATACAAGCTCCAAGGTTAGGTCTATAAATCGTGTGCACGTGTGCTATGTCTATGATAATTGATAACGCTTGTCACTTTTTACTTCATAATTTTTATATGACAGTTAAAACACTTAAAACCACGAAAATGCTTTAAACTTAAAAGTTAAATTAAATATAAATTAAAATACATAATATCTAAATATTTCATTATTTCAATCTGGTTGATATTTTTAAGTCATTGTAGTTAGTGCGTTTGAATTTTCGTCAACTGGTTGTTATCGTCTGGAAATGTTTGCATTTATTTTAAACTGACATCAGAAGACTCTAAGAACTCTATTTACTCTAAGAAGGTACTTGTTTGTATCATAGAAAAATTATATTTGTATTCATCACCATCATTAGTTAAAATTTGAGGATATGTATAGTTTGATTATTTATCAATTTGTAAATGCCTTCAGTCGTATTTAATTATGTTAGTATAACAATTTACGTACCTACGCAAGATAGATATCTAAGAATAACATAATATAGAATGCTTAATCCAGTTTTATTTTCTGAGTGGTAATGTTAATACATTTACTTATCTATTATCAATACATTATACCATATACAGTGTTATATTAAGTATTTAAGTGGCACAATTCAGTTTATTTCAGCACCTAAATATCTATATAATACTAATGTATTTAATATTATTTTACTTCAATTCCTGACTCATGACTTAACTTAATTTTAATTTAGCCCATTGATTTAAATTAAAACTGTTTTATTGGATATGATCCATTTTCTTCAAACAGTTTAAGAAAAATGTTTACTTTATTAAGAATTAAAACATTTTTTAAATTCTTGAAATGTAGACAAGTTGAACCATTTTGAATAAGACATTTTTAAATTTCATAGTCGTCATTATTCTCAATAAAATTATTCTTCAATTTATCTAAAAGCCATTATTCATTATTGTACCTACCTATCTAGGATTTCAAATTTCAAATTAGCTTTTTCATTGCAATTCTATGTATGGTAAATTATTATGAAAAAGCAACATTTAATTTCTCTAAAAGTCATGGTTCCTAAGATTTCAAACATGACAACATTTTTTTTACTAAATAATATTCTCCATATTATTCATATTGTACCGTTGTTGTGTCTGATTACTTTAATGGAACAATTCAAATTATTTCAGCACCTAAATATCTATATCTAAAATTCATTGTTCATTTATACATATCTAGGATTTCAAATTTCAAATTAGCTTTTTCATCACAAATCTAAGTGTATTCTTAATTTCCTAAGTTTTCTAATGTGACATCATTGTTTTTATTAAATCATATTCTCCATAATGATATCATAATGAAAAGTGGAACAAATCAGAATATTTTAGATACTTATATCTAGATTTGCTATTTTGCTAATGTATTTAACATTATTTTACTTTAATTCCTGATTCATGACTTATGAGTAATACCTAATTTCATAGAATTCAATAATTTACTTAATGAATATTTGCATGTATGGGTTTTTGTTGGTTTGTGTTAATAAAATTATAAAATGTATAACTTTTTGACTTTAAAACTTTAATGTAGTAATATTTTACAAGGTTATTCATACAAGCCTAATAGTTATTTTCTACTAATTTGTTTAAACATTTTTCGCATTAATTAATAGTGTATACCAATACCTTTAGAAGACGATTGAACCTCTGGCGTGGACCAAAATTCTGCAAGTAAAATGGCAGTCATAATTATATTGTATTGAGAGTATACACTTGTTGATAAACATTGGTCACATTATTAATATGGTATACCAATACCTTTAGAAGACGATTGAACTCATTTAAACCTCTGGTGTGGACCAAAATTTTGCAAGTAAAATGGCAGTCATAATTATATTGTATTGAGAGTATACACTAGTTGAAAATAAAAGTATGCGAGTGTTTTAAACAAATAGTAAGTGATATAACTTTTTAACAACTTTTTAAAGGACTGTAGTTATATTTAACAAGGTTATTTGCACAAAACCAACTATTTTTAACCAATTTGAGCATATGAATACTTTTTTAAGTAATTTGTTTAAACATTAGTCTCATTTAATAATGTAATAAATAGCATAGCAAAATAGTAAATAGTAAATATACATATAATTTATTATTCGATTGCACCTCTTGTACGAACAATGTTCACTCAGTTTAAATTGTGAAGTATGTTTTTATTAGGCATTTATTAAACTGCTTACTTTCATAAATTCTATATTTCTTTAGATACCTACCTATATTGGATATTAACGAATAATGAATTTGCTTTAAAATGTATTTTACCATGCATATCTTGCATATTCCTTGCTAATTTGAATATACTAAAATGTACTAAATGGTTCAACAATTATTTGTCTTTATATCCTTTCTTATGAAAATTGTACACATTTCAAATCTATGTATATTTATTTATTAAAATTAAGTTAAAAGTTTTAAAATTGCCCTAAATCCAGACTGAAAATGCTTCTAAAAAAATATTCAATCCCGGTCTAAAACCAGTAAAACCTAACCTTATTCACCACTCAGAATATATTACGATAATTTTTACTGGTGCAATTGACATATTTAAAATACTTGATAATTATGTTTGATGTCATGATTAGGACTTTGATGTTGTTATAATTAATTAATAATTTTACAAGGTTTCTACTTAATAGAGCAAAAAAAAAATTCATAAAAATGTAGTTTAAAAATTAAATTGCTTACACAAATGTGATATACATATTTTACCAACGTTGTGTAAATATTGTGTGACTTCCATGTGATGATCCATGCTACAGATGTTAAACCCTCCTATGGGCCTATCTTTTTTTTTTGCTTAAGCCATTGGAGCAATAGGTACAATTATTTAAAAAAAAAAGGAAAAATTGATTATACATTAATAATAATTAAATACATTTTTAATAAATTCAGTCAAAATTGTCTTGTTCTAGACTTCTAGAGTATACATATTTGCTCATATTTTTATGCGTATATGTTTGTGTTTAAAGCTTTTAAGTCTCTAGCCTATTCTTACCTCTCTTCTAGCCATAACCTTTAGTCTTTAGTAAATGAATAATTAATTTTCATAAAATTAATGTAACAACATCCAAGCCCTAGTTATTATAATTTAATATTAGATTGATCATATCTTAATGTTGTGAAAAGGTGATGTTCTTTCAAAATCTGTTTGATTTTATATGCATCATTCAACATTATGTTGAACGCGAGGTTTAATCATACAAGTTTTTGAAATCAATGTTGTCATTTTGCAGCGTTTAGAAATGATATACATATTTAATATTAAGTTGATTCAAACATAATATGAAAGTATAGGTATGTAAGTATGTAATTAGTCTTACCAAGGCTTGGAACTTTAAGCATTTGCATATTTGTTTAGAAAGTGCATATTGAAAATCTGATTCGATACAAATTTGATTCATAGTAAGTATATTACAAATACAAAAATATTTGTTGCATAATTTTGAATATTTCTTGATTTTTTGTACAAATTCGCATATTTTAGGTATAAGAACATTAATTATATGCATATGATATCATAGCATTAACATGAAAAATTTTTTTTTTTAGAAATTTATACTTTTATATTGTTTGACAAAATAAATTAATTCATCAACGGCTATTACTATTGCTCCCAAAAATAATATTATAATCTTTATATCTACTACTGAGAACTTTTAATAGTAATCGCTGACCGGGCCGTATTTATTTTTATTCAAATTTACCACTGGATTAATATTTTGTACCATGAGATAAAAAAATTGTATAATCGTAGGTAATTAAATACATAAGCGTGCGGTGTTAATTTTTTTTTTAAATTCTTCTAATTTTTTTTCAGACACCTACCTAATTTAAATTTTTAAATTTTGTATGTAAAATGTATTTTATTCAATAAATTGCATATTTTCCAAATTTTTACTGCATATTTTTAAGTTCCTAGCCTTGGTGATTATTTATTATTTAAATTTATAAAATATGAATAGGCACCTACATTAGTCAAAAATACAGATACAGGTACCTAACCTATTTGTATACATTTTAAATAATTGTATGCAGTATAATAACATTTATACAACAATTTGGTATAATTAGCTATTGCCTATTTGTCAACTGAATGATATTTATTTTTAATTTTATATTATTAATAATAAATATTATGTAAAATTATTGAGGACACAAACCCCTTCCATAGCATTGATTATAAATAAAACAATATCCAATATACATTATACATATGTAGACGGTATATTATTATCTAATGCCTTGTTTTTTTTTTTTTTTATTATCAATAGAATCATGTGGCTTGACCTATGTAATATAAAATTAAATTAAGATAACAAATACACGTTTTATTACTAGTAAATTGGTAGTTAGATAGCGTACAGATTATAAAGGTTGTAGGTACAACAATGCATCGGCGTAAAACAGAAGCACAAAGTATATTATTATTATTATTCATTGATGGCATTTTTACAAATTAAATACAAAATTCGAATGTAAATAGCTTCTTTAATTATCAACCAATAATTATGAATGATACATCAAAATTCATTAAAAAAAAAATCCTGTAGGAATCATATTTCAAAAATATAGATTCCCATTTGAATTTTAAAAGTTACCCCTAAAATCTCCCCTTTTTAACTAATAAAAAAAAAAATTAATATCATATTAGTTTTGAGTATGTGATTCAAATAAGTTTTCACATAGGTCATTTTTTCCTAATTTGAGTAGATCATGCTGAAATCTGCTGTCACATGAAATTTGGAACACCCTGTATATATAAAAATATTATTACATTTACTAAGTTAAAGAGTTAGGTACTTAAGTACGTAATGCTGTTTGAAATAAGTTAATAATTTATCTTAGAAAAGTATGTTTACCAATTAATATATTTTGTATTTATCTAACAAAAAGTGACATTTAATGAAAGACTAAGTAAACATTTTAGTTAATGAACTTCCATTAGTGACTGACACATACGTTTTATGTATATTAACAATTTTAGTGTAAGGTACCTTAATAAAATTATAATATTATATTTTACTTTCTTCCGGTAATCAAACCAAACTGTGTTAAATTATTCAAATGTTATAAAATATTACTCGGGATCTAAGTGCATATTTTCTATTTTATAGATAGGATTTAATTATAAAATAATAGCGTGTACATATCTTAATGGGACATTTAACGAAATAATTTATTTTTAATTTGTAATTAGACAAGAGAATTTTTATGTAATCCCTAAAATAAAATGCATGGTAAATTAAAAAAAATCTATGATGGTTACGATATACTTACAGTACCAATAGCTAACAATATTATGAAAGTTGTGCAATATGAAAAATTAAGTAAATTGAGCAACTTGGTGAACAACTTGTGTAAAGACATTAGAGTAAATATACCTACTGTATTTCAAATAACTGCATAATATATAATAAATTATACACACAACTACGCAATTACGTCTTGAGTAGATTTAAAAAATAAAAGGCTTCATTGGTATAATATATGGTTATCTAAACTCTGAAGTAAATATAATTTAATAAATTACTGAACAGAAATGTAATTGCTTAATAATCATTAGGTACCTACACAATGTAGAGTTAGTTCTAATTTTCAAAAAAAAAACCCAATTATGGATTATGGATAACAATTAATGTTGGTCTGAATAAAAATAACTAGTAATACTTATACTTGTTGTACATAATACATGAATAGTATAGGTAAGTAACATAATAATATTTTATCAAGAAATTAATGTCAAATTCTCAACAAATTGATAGTGATTAGTAGGGAACGGATTTACGATATGTAAATGCATATTTTTATTAAAACAAGATATTTAAGAATCGATAAGAAATGTTCATGATTTAAATCATTCCTATTAAAATGATGCTACTTTTATTTTACATACTTTTACATATTTCACTAATTTGTAAATATTTTTAAACATATTTTTTCATTTCATCGTTCATAATACGTTTTCAAGGCATTAAAAACAGCCATTATGAACTGTGACGATCCACGTGGAGCAAATATTTAGTAGTTTTTATAGTCGTTACCTTATAATTTTCATATAGATATAATAGATATCCTAATATAGTAATATAGTATACATTTATATACGATTGACAATCGATAGCAGACGGGTTGACAGGCGATAGCAGTAGGTAAACAAAAAATACGTCCTTAAATAATAGTATGCAAATTGTTGAATCAGCGATTGAAAAATTAAAACTCGTAAGCGGACCAAATACCAATAGGAGATGTTGTAAAAAAGAAAATTCATGCAGTTACAGAAAAAAATCCAGGCTATATTGATTTTAAAACAATCAATGACATAATGAGTGGCAGACACACTTCTAAAAATTTGGAATTATCGCCTTCTGATATTATGAGCTTCAAATATGCTCCAATTACATCGATTGATGTGGAACGATCATTTAGCCGTTTTAAAAATATTTTGAGACCTAATAGGCCACATTTAACATTCGAAAATTTAAAAGAAATTGTAATAATTCAATGCAACAAATCATTTTGATAATTTAATAATTTTAATAATTTTAATTGTATTTTTTTAAAAATTTAATTAAATTTTTTTCCCACATATTTGGATGTTTTAGCACATATTTTAAAATTATACTTCCATATATATGTACATATTTTTGTATTTTTATTATATATAAATCCGTTCCCTAGTGATTAGTAATAGTATCAGAAATGCGTCGATTGCCCAACACCAAACTTCTGATCTAATATGGCCTTTTTTTTTATTGGACTTCAAGTTTTTATGTTTATATTATTTCCATTGAATAAACTGATTTTTCAAATATCTAAAAGAACTGTAATTTTAGATTCTGATCAGAGCGATGAATGTATTGATCTTACAATGATAAGTGATTTTTATTTATTTATTTTTATGTTTGTCATTGCCTCTGAAGTAAAAATGCTTCGATATTCAACTTTGAGGGTGGTTTCTGATAACAATTTGGATCTAGTTGGTACTTTGTGGTGTCAAATGTGTTTTTTGTATCTTAAGAATTAATAATTGTACAGACTATAGACTTTAAATTTTCCTGAATATTTTTCATTACTATTAACTAGACATGTTTCATTATCTAAATACATTTTTTTTATGTTTTTTTGTGCTATTTATTGATATTAAAAATATTCTTTTATAAGCGTTTAAAGATCGCCTTTTTACAAAATTCCTCAAAATCGTGAGTACCAAAATTCATATATGACATCTTATAGGTATACTTAAGGCCTGAAAATTTAATATAAAAAACCGTTGAGAGCGATTCCACAAATATTTTTTATGAGCATCTAAAGCTATTATGGTATAAACTATAAATATAAACTAATATAAAAATGAATATATCACTTATTTTGACTACTGAAAAATTATTCATTTTAAATTGTAATAATTTATAATGTCGTAACGTGGTTTCCGACAACCTATGAAAAATATGCCCTAATCGTAAATATTCACTAAAAACCAAAATAAAGTGATGAATATTTTATCAACAACGTCGTAAATCGAATTTTGTAGATGCCTACCTACATTCGATAAGAATAAGAGATCGACCAGGAAAAACATGCAATAAAGTGTTTGTTCTAAACGGCAGTTAATAATATACCCAATTATTATTATATTATGTTGTGCTTTTCTAGAAAATGTCATCCAAAAGGCCGTAGCCGCTTACCGTGCTGTGGTCGCCCACGTACGAGAACACGGCCATGTACAAGACGGTCCAGTAACCGGTGATGGCAATCGGCAGCGACTGCCACAGGCCCGTCACGTTCATGGGCAGCTCGTCAAAGAAGTAGACGCACACCAGCAGGCCCAAGTTCCGGGCCACCTCGCCGTAGACGGGCAGCAGCATGCATGGCCGCCTCAAACGGTTCCGATCGCTCCACGAGCCTAGGAACAGCACGAAGACGGCCGGCACGCTGCTCTGCAGTATCGTCTGCCAGATGAGCATGTCCGCGACCAGCTTCTGCACGGTGATCTCGCTGTCGGTGAGCATGCTGCTGTTCTTGTCCTTGTTCTCCAGGTCGTTGCATATTTCCGGGCTAAGTTTCAGGTCCACCCGGCACGCCTTCTGGATGTTAAGGTTCTGGTTGGCCAGTATGACCAGTATGGACGCTATAAGGTACGGGAACAACATCGGTTCGACGGTCAAGTTCCGTAGCACCATCTGGCGCAGCGGTTCCTTTTCGCCGCCGCCGCCGCCGCCGCCGTCGCCGTTCTTCGGCTGTTCCATCACGATACGATCTGCGTTCGTCGCTGGAACGTCTCCCCTCATAGCTGCGTGTCGCTTTTGATATTATTATTGTTGGTGGTGGCGATGTTGGTATTGTTCCATGCCTTGTAAGAAAATAAAATCGATAAAATATTTTTGAATCTAATAGCTTATTTTACAGAATGTATTACTTACATTTATAGTTTTATAAATCAACCCATATTTAAATTATTTGAAAAATGATAAGACAATATTTATTTTTACACCATAATTTATAATAATGTGTGCTAATAGGTGGCTCAATCAGTTTATCTGATAAGGTAATGTTTGATTTATCCGAGGATTTATCGATATGACTAAGATGAAAAATTACCATAGACTGTATGCGGGTTCTGACAGAACCTATGCCTATTCAGTTGCAAAACTCATAATTGACGCAACTAATAGTTGATTAATTAATCAAGCAGACAGCCGACGTCAATTTGGTTTTTAAAACTTAAAGAACTATATTAATCATATTTTAATATAGGTAATTAAGTAATTTAATAATCACTGGTAAAAAATACTTATTTTATAAAAAAACAATAAAACCGTATGTAAAATTATTTGCTAGGTTAACATAACATCCACAAGCTGATGTTACCATTGATTTTTAAATTGTATGTTATGGTATTTTTAATTACTAGGTTCATAATATAGTCGTACAATTCTTGTAGACTATTGATAATATATAAATACTATTAATACTTGATAAGACAACACTAATGTGCCATTAAAATTATTTAATTTTAACTAATCACCACACATTAATTTATGAATTGAATGATTGAATAATTACAGCTAAATGCCAATAGGCATATTTTTTTTAGGTATTTATTAAAATAAAAAAAAATGAGATATAAAAACCTGACTTCTGTATTTATTAGTGCTTTGAATTTTGATTACGATTTGTATAACAAAAATGGTTTAGTTATTTCGTCATATAATACATTTAGTACTTAAAACATTAAGAGTTGTTTAAATTTATTATTTTTAATAAATTAATAATAATGGTTTAAAATATTGGAATACCTATATAATTTTATAATTTTACTGCCGAAGGTACTTAATTTTAAAACTATTTAGAACAAACTATGTTTCAAGGCATTTTGCAATTTCGTCTTAAGTGCGTTATAACAAATTATACAATATATCCTACCTGGTTTGTCCTTGTAAATTACTTAGGGTTTTTACCTTAAAATAGTTTTAAAAAAAAAACCGATATTATTGCTATCTGTATATCAGCGGTGGATCCAAGGGAGAAGGTGGTCGCCAAGTAAATAGTAATACCACCAATATTATTAAAAAAAACTTAATCTAAATTTTGCATACACAGATATAAATACAATAACAATAAATAAATAAAAACCAGATTTACCAACAAAAGGAATAGTTGAGAAAATATATAATCAATATAGTATTTCGCTGTATCCTCTTTATCTGAACAGAACGTCCACTTAACGAATTATTATAATCCACTATCCACTCAAACTCAATAATACCTAATACAAAAAATTATTTAGTTATAAAAATGATGGTCCAATGGTCCATTATATTGATTGCGTTGTGTAATAAATTTTAGTGAAGGGGAATGAGTGTCAATATAATCAAATTTTGTTTTAATTTTGTTTAAAAAATTTAAATTAAACCGGTCAAAAACGAATTTTTGTAGAGATGACATTGATTTTTCAGATAAGAACGAATATTGATAGAATATGTCCATGTTTTTTGCACTTAAATCGAGGGATTTAAAATATACAAAAAGTGACTAAGTGGTAAACGATTTGCTGTAAATTATGTGTTTAGAGAGTCACTTTAATGGTAAATGGTGTGTTAAATTTGAATTCAATAATCATTGTCAGCCTATAGGCTATAATATTGGTAAGTAAATTTTTTGATATTATTGTGATTAAAGTAACATACACATTCAACTACTAGGCATTAGTACTTCCTACACTCTACAGTAGGTTAAATTAATTTTTGCCAAAAATATTGCATTTGGAAATGTCATTGTTTGTATACTGTATAGTGTATATAATATAATAATGTACTCTCAAAGTCTCAAGTACCCTCAAATAATAATTTTAAATTAAAACAAAATAACTGAAACCTTTATTCTTGGTTTTAATATTTAGTTTCATCCAAATTTGAACTTAAAATGTCTGTAAAAATAACTATTATGTCTACATATTTTTAGATTTTTTGATTACAGTATGAATTATTTATAAGGATCCTTGTTTTAAGTTTTGAATTCTTAGCTATAAAATTTGAACATTTTACAATTTTTTAACTACAAAATAATTTGAAAAATTTCGAGATTTTGATAAATTTTACGAACATTCGTACTTATAAAAAAAAATCATGGTAACAACTAACAACTAGATTCACTTTCTTAAAAAAGATGCTATTGAAGATAATCGAAGCATATTTTTGTCCCAAAAGGTGATGACAGACACATAAAAAACACACATCATTGTCAAATCAATACATTGATTGCTCCACTCAGAAATCAGAATCTGAAGTATAGGTATAATCCAAAGTTTTAATCATTCAACTTTTATCTATAAACTCAGAATTTTTTTTATTCTTACTGCGTTTCCTCAAAAATATATAGATCAATTCCCTTGATTGTAAAAATCAAATTTCGGACAAGTAGTTTATTAGTTATAAATACTTATTTAAAATTTTGACGAGCGGAGTAGAGAGCCGACCAGTGGCGTATATACAAATTATTTTCAGTATGGGCCAATTTGGGCAATTTATCACTATCACTATCCAAGCATAGCCCGACTAACATAGCCATAATACTATACATATTTCTGGGAGCTGGGTGGTTATAATTATGATTTATGACATATAACAAATAAAAATACAAATAAAATAATATATACAAATAAAAATTGCACAATTTAATTTTATAATTATGTAAAATTAAGTTCTTAATTTTTTTTTAAAAAATATTGACAATTTCATTTATATATATATTTTAATGTTATCTAACTGTGAATTTAACATCAAAGTCATCAAAACAAGTCCTGACAATCATTTCTTTGTGGATTCCTCAAAAACGATTTTAATCAACTGACTAAATTAATCATGGTGAAAAACTGTAAACAGTATAGATATACATGAAATTCTTTAAGTAATTGAACCTACAATTTCACTATGGGCTCTGGCCTAGGGGGCCTCCCCCCTATATACGCCACTGGAGCCGACATTTTACAGGGTATCATGTACCACTCCACTCTTCTCATCTATACTTTTAGTTTATAACTCATAAACTACTTGTCCAAAATTGTATTTATATACGTCAAAATACATAAAAATAATTATAAAAATTATAACTATACATATTGTTTAGCAAAATTTTGTTTTTAACGATTTGAAATTATGTAAAAAAAAATATTTTCAAAAGCGTTAATTGTTTTTAAAATAAAGAGTGTCTAAATGGATCATCCGGTACGTGAAAGCCAGGGTTTCAAATTGCCAATACAATAGTATGGTTTAATGTTTTACATTTTTTTTTACACTTTATTATAAGCTACCTACTATTTAGTATATATAGGCTATTATAGTGCAATTATTTAAAAAAACATTAATTAGTATTTGGCGGTGATAATCAATCCTTGTAATTTTTTTGAATTCGATAGAATGTCTCGAGGTAAACGTGATTTGAGTCCACCTCGGGATTAATTTTGTTTGATTTGTAAGGCTTACATTTTTCTTTTTACATTTTTAACTAGTTGTTATTCCAGATCCTAGGTTAAAATGTATACTCATATATTTATTTCGTTGTGTAATATTGATACATATGCATAAGCCACCAGCCTCTAAAACATATTCTTAGGAATTTATTTTGAAAAATATGTCGTTTGTTAACTTTTGTTTGGGACGCTGCATCTCATACTTTTAGTATTAGTAAGCACTAAGCCATAGTTGAGTGTACTCACTAGTCTTATTATCAAGTGGAGAATTAAATACAAGATACGGTATGGTTTACTAAGTAGGGTATAGGATTTTTATCCGGTTTAGTTCTCACATTATTAATGATGTGTATTTTCCACTTATCTAAAATATAATATGATATTATGATGTGTTGTATTTGAAATAGTAATGCAATTAAGTCTCTCGAGTCTTGGTGACAAAACAAACGGAATGATTGATACCATAAATAGATTAATATATATTGACTATTAAGGACAATAGTATTTAAGTGAAGTGGAAAATATAATAATATGCTCGGATCTTGTCTGACACAATAATCAGGTACATATTTACAAGCCTTCTCGAATTTCTCTATATGAAGTTGCAAAATTATCAAAGTATATCACGGCTAAATTTTTATCTGGTATTTATATTATAGTGACGAGTTGACATTTTCTATTGGGTTTATCGATATTTCCCGAAATATTATAATACACCCCTAAATCGGAATTTTGTAAATCAATACGATGTGTACCTATCTGCATATTCAAAATAATAATTTCAGTAGGTACCTAATTATTTTTTCCATGTGGGTACCACAACAGGAAAAAAACTTTTTTTTAGAAATACCTGAAGTATACCTCAGAAAATTCAATATTTTTTTACTATTGTTACTATGTAAGTAGCGTATACTTTAAGTACTAGGTCGTATTATATGTAATTACTAATTATATTTTATATTTATTCTGAATCATTGTAGATGTTATAATGTATTGAATAGTGGTCAATGGTCATTGATAAAAATAATACGAACCTATTCCGGTACCTATTCGTATTTGTATAACACAATAGCTGGTAGAACAAATACTTTATTAATAAATAATATAAATCATACAGGATAAAATTGTCTAGTCTTAATGATAGAGTATTAATTTTAAACAAATACAAAAAAAAAAAACCGTAATCACAAGCATTTTATATAATGAGCGTATTAAATAATTAAATATTATATAAAATATACATCTTAATGTAGATTATTGTTGATTGATCTATTTATT